TACGTTACGTTACGTAACGTAAACGTAAGTTAGTAGTCGTCTTCCTTCTCTGTAGTGTAGTTGTTGTGCGAGCGACGAGAGAGAGAGTGTGTGTGGTGTGTTGTTGTTGTGTGTGAGAGAGAGAGAGAGAGAGAGAGAGAGAGGGAGACAGTTGCACTTATGAACATATGCCAACTCCACCACTACATCAAATATGCACGTATGCAGCACCAAGAAGCACATAATCTGTATAAAGATTGGCCTTCGTACGGAAAAAAAGAAAGAGTCCTGAAATTATAACTGGCAGGGAAATAATTGAACCCACTTCTCACAAGAGAGCAGTGATCAAGATGACTCCCCACAAACTAGCTCAAGTAAAATACACTGAAAGAAATGGTCCACTAGTTTGCATGGTAGCATTACAGGTAAAAATATCTTAAGAAACGAGACAACCCAATTCAAGATTCACTAGAACCATAAAAGTGGTTGAAACAAAAAGGGACGAGGAAAACAAAGTACCGGATACTCAAAACTCATCGTCGTCCTCCTCAGCAATATGCTTGGCAAGCTCCTGTTCCTGTTGCTGGCGCTCACGTCTCTTCTCAGCGCTCTCCTTCTCCTTGTGCGAGTTGGGTGGGAACCGAAGGGCTCTCACTGCCTCGTTATGCATGTTTAGGCAAAAGGCAATTCTCGAATTGAAAGCAGCTTGAGGCTCATTGGTCGAGTATATGTCCCCTGTCTCCTTTGAGAGCACCCATCCTTTTGCATGGTCAATAGTGGCATCAATTGCCCCATCCCTAATGGCCTTGGCCACAATGCTCTCAGCATCAGCAACTGAGTCGAGCCTGAGCTTTGAAGCCACATCCGCAAGAGAGATGCGCGAATATGAGATACTGATGTTCCGAAGGCCAGTTCTTATGACGTTGTGTCTAAGGCGCACAATGAGATTGTGGGTGCGGTCCTTGCTGAATGTGGCTGAGTATTTGTCTGCAACACTTCGGAATAGCTCCAAGTCTCCAATGCGCACCGCCTGCACCAAAAAAAATTCCGCAAACTTCTTTTTTAGCAAAGAAAAATCTTAAGTAAATCAAAAGATTTTTTATTTATACGTTTTAACCAATATCCAAAAACATCAAAATAAGGAAAAATTGAAAAGAAAAAATTGCATTTCTTTGTTCCTCAAAAAAAAAAAAGAAGCGCTTCTTTCCTTATAATTTCGACAAAATTTAACAAAGTTGGATGTACTTTCAAACAAAGAAAAAAACCCAAGAAAGGCTATAATCTACTTTCCCCTGAGAAGACAAGAAACACTGAATAATGGAAACTTTAGGGTCACAACCGCCCCAAGAGATTATGGGCAATGGCATAGAGTGGATCCCACCAGGGTAGGACATGATCCCTAATGATGGGTCGCACATTCGTCGTCCTCCATCACCATCCATCATTTTACTGGATGGTTATGACCACAATGGACTATGGTTTTCCATAGCCCTCTGGGCTGTAGTAAGTTTTCCTTTTCATAAACCCAACAATATCAATAAATATCGAACTAAATTTTGTGTGATAGATTTACTCAGAGAAAAGAAAAAGTTTGTGCCGTAGATGAATGATATAGAACCAGATAGAGGCCATCTTTCCTAATTTTTAAACTACACAAAGGCAAGATCCTATATGAACCCTGACATTCATGGTAGCAATCCCATACTCCTCAAAACGGACCAAAAGGACAGGCATAGCACACTTGGCATCCAGAAAATCATAGGCAAAAAGTCATCATATAACCCCATGCACCTTAATATAGGCTTTCAGAAGTCTGCAGCTATAAACATCCTTTGATGGGGATAATATGACAATTTTAGACCGAAGACATTCCAGTTTCCAAGGGTAATGCAACTTTCCTTTGGGTCGTTGTCAAGAAACATTAGGCACAAGCACCTATTATGTATTTACTAGCAGCAAAACCTCTTTAGTTAAGTGCATAGAAACAGAAAAGCAAACATTTACTAAAATAATATAACAAGAAGTTCAGTCAGAAGAAACCTACATTGGTCAACTCAAAGTAGGGTCTCAAAGCTTTCTTCATCCCATTTTGCATGAAGACAGTCCTCTCTGGGATCTCCCCAAGTAAGAGACGAACAATGGCCGCCCATTTGTTGCACTGGATACGAAAACCACGGGCTGCAACCGGGGCTTTGCGGGCAGCTTGTAAAAGACTCTCCTTAGCATCGGTATACTCCAACTGTATCGTCCGGATCCTTCCCAAATAATACAGATAGCGGCAGAACTGCACACACACACACACATCAAATGGAGTCGTGGTGGTAGCACCCCGCATCCTAGTCACCACATTGTGGTTTCCATTCCCACCACTAACATCACCCCACTAACACCTTCAAAAGGCTAACTCATAATCTACTTGGAAAAAACAGGTCGGGGCCTGTCTTCCCCACTGAATTACCCCCAAAAAAAAACAGTAAAAAATAGCAGGAATATGACAATAAAATGTACAGAATTTTCTTTTTTTTCTCTAATTCAATGAAGCCACAATTATCATAGACTTACCTGTTGGTTCGAGTGGGCCTCGAATCGTGGGGCTTTTGAGCGCAGCTTCTCTGCCTGGTCGTACAAATTGTAGTGCAAATAATTTCTGAGAAGTAGATTCAGAAGAGTTTCCTGCATAAACAGATGCGTTATGTTGGTATTCCTTCCAGCTGCAAGCTTACAATCAATGTACTGCAAAAATTATTTTTACAATAAATAGAGCTGTAAAAACTCCAAAATGTGAAGGACACCTGGCCAAGCTCATCATGGCGCATTGTCGCTGTGCGATGCAAAGCCAAAAGGGTTCTGAAAAGGAAAAATGAATGTCATGATGCAAATATGAAACATGAATATGATCATTGCAATTCCGTGCCTGTTTATGTTGAGTAAAGGAGGACTAGAACGAACCCACGAATTTCACCCAGACTGTCAGTTAACTCATAGCTGTACGAGTAATAAAAGTAGAGTCTGGCAGCCAAAACATCGATGGTTCTTCGGTTTAGCTGCTTCACCCGAGTGATTGCAGCAGACGAGCAAGATTTTGCCTGGAAGATATATAACTATGCTCAGTTTGGTAACAAGAGATTGCAATCTCAGTATTAGACTACTGAATGCAAACACCACTCCTGTGGCATTTGCATGTTTACAAACCTCATTATATCTCTTCTGGTCAATCAAGAAAATCAACACCAACAGGTAGCAATAGATCTCTAGCTCCGGCAATGAATACTTGCCAGGAGCTTGAGTCCCGGAAGAGGCAGTATCCACTTCCATATCATGCTCATCATCCTGCAACAGCAACACACGCAGTATAAGCAATTAAAACCTGAGGAAAAGCTTTTTTTTTCATCTAGATAAAAGTTAAGAGAACCACAAGGAATAGTAAATAAAAATAAAAAAATCAAGGCCCAAACATTAGATGTTGCTCATATAAGATGAACTCCACATTAAAAGATGGGTATGAGTGTGCTCCAGACCAAACGAAAAAGATGGGTATGAGTGTGCTCAAGGTTGATAGCAAATAAACTATCATCACAAAGAAACTGCCACACTAAGTAGAAGTACCCCATATTACCCATAGTTTTGCTACTCTGGCATCACCTTATTACGAGGGTAAACTAAGGTAAACACCAGTTTTCCATAATCCTATGTAAGATCCAGAAGTACCTAATTTGTATCAGATCCATTCAATAGAGATGAACCGAACTCTTAAGTGATGACATTCAGGCCAAGAATCTTGCATAAATCAGAATCCCAAAAATAATCCACGAACAAGATTTCCAGGATAGTTTTCAATCACTAGCTTTATGTTCTGACCATGTATTGAAGTATCATCCAGTGGTCAACTTTTCATGGATAGAGATCAATGACCAGCTATGGTTATCCTTTTTTAATAAGAAAGGTACCAATAATGATGGCATTAATGAATCAGAAATGAGTAATGACACTTCCTCACAGAAGCCTTTTGTGGTAATTCCACAATATCCTTATTATTTTAATGGTGGCCAACTCAGAGGTTCTTATCCATCCGGTTAATACCATTGCATAAGGGGGACAAAAGGAAAAAGAAGTATACAGCTTAACACCGCATTTTATAACAGGAAAAAGAAAGCGAGGCTTGTTTCTAGATTGATTAAAAGGCAACAAAGTGATGAGGCAGAGTGAGTTTTTATAGCTTGAATTCTGTACATCTGACAAATGCAGGCTTAAGTTACTGAAGATGATTACAGACCAAACACAAGATGATGAAGGGTCTCACATCATACTCATGCACAGCGTACGACACATATAAAAAAGGAAAATGGACTATATCAGCTCTGTCTTACCAACTATAAGCCTCCCCATCCCATCCACTTCCCTATGGATATGAGAGGATGAGACTAGGTCATCACTATACAGCTTCGAAATCCCTTCTACAGTATGCTGATGTTTTAAGGCGTTAGCTTTCCCCAAATGACCCATCAACTCAACATTCAGGTAAAACCGAACAAATCATTAGCCACTAGCCTAACCAGTTCTAATCATCATTATTAAGGATTTCTATTGGATTTCTATATAAAATAAACACTTTTATCTAATTTGCATTGCATCTAGAGGTCTTAAATCATTTATTCGTTCTATTTCACTTCCCTAACATGCTACTAGAGTCAGTTCCATTCCAAACAGCGTAAATTGGGTTAGGTCCTTTTGCATAATGGAGCTGGGGATCATAGAAGATCTGGATTGCACTAGAGATGCACATGTAAGAGGAATAATTTCAGCTAGGCTAGTGATGCAATCAAGTCGGCATAGTGTTGGTGGGGATACTCTTATACTTGCTGTTTATCAGCAGATAGAACCAATCAATCACCCTCCAATCCATCTTGAAGGCTTCTCTAAGACTTCCATGCCTACTGCGAATTGCAAGTATAAAATCTATCCAAATATTGATTTGTTTAAGTTGAGACTAGAACCAAAGGGATCTCATGACTTGAGGAAGCTCTCTCAAAGGAGAATTGGATGAAGAAATAAGCAAATAACAACTCAAAAAGTTCTCTACTTCTAAAATATTCAAAATTTGCATCCAATAAGTTGGTTGACATAGTGCTCATTGTAGGAATGTAGATACCATGCCATTAGACATTAACACTAGAGTTCTAGACTATGTACGATGGATGAAAGTCATTCTGAAAAAAAAAAGACTGAGGTGAGATAGACTTTTATACGTTGGGACAGAAAAATACTTCCCTCCAACATGGTGCTTCAAATCCTATAGGTCAAACCAAGTTGTCTTACTCAAATGGTTTTAAAATGCGGCCGCATCATGCGGTATGCGGTGGGCTCCGCATCAAAACTGACCGCATATGCGCTTTTGACCTATGCGCCGCATCAGGCCGCATCATAGCCGCATCCCGCATCACACCCGATCCCCTTCCGCCGAAATTTTTTTCGATTTTGCCCCTCGGGGAGGGGCAAAATGGTCTTTTTGACCATCCAAAAATGGGAGAAACTGTTTGGGGGGTATTAAACCCCCTAAACGATGACTTCCAGCCACTTTTGTGGCTTTTTTTGCATCAAATTGAGGGGGAAAAAAATTGGCAAAAATTTATTTTTCATTCAAAATTGACCCTCAAAATGGATGATTGTATTAAGTTATTAACTATTAACTATTCTTGAGCTTGACTTTTGGTTTGTAATATCACTATTTTGTGCTTATGGTTGTTCATGGTTGTGCTTATGGTGCAAATTTGTGCTTATGGTTGTTGATTGTTGAATGTTTTATGAAGCTAGTTTCTAGTTTCTATTAGGGGATAGTGGATAGTGGATAACTAGATACAGAATCTCCCACAGCTAATAATTTTGAAGTTAATCATTACACTAAAATACCTACTATCACATATATCACCTCTATATTTTTTCCTATGCATAAACCTATTTTTTTAGAATTTTTTGAAAAATTTTACATTTATTGACCGCATCGTCGTGATGCACCCGCATCCGGGCCGCATCAGCCCCCCCCCCACCGCTTTTGGCCGCATCCCGCATTTTAAAACACTGCTTACTCATAGGTGAATTATGTAATAAGGATTCAATCGTAGTTCTATAGAAGAAGTAAAACTCAAAGCCTCATAAAAAATATGACACCCAAAATTAAAAATCATATCTTATAATGAGAACCGACAAGATAATTTGTAAAGGACAATGCAAAATGCTTAGTTCAGGATCACTGGGTTCTCAATTGCTTGAACGAAATCCTCAACCATCAGAGAATTGTCATCTCACATACTGTATAGCACTTATCAATTAGCATAGCATAAAAAATTTTAAAATTAGCAAGGACTTCTTTAGGGGAGTTCCATATGAAAGACATTATTGATGCCAAATGTTAAAGATTATAGAATTTAGGTAAGCCATAGTGGATCTTGTTTTTCTTCCTTTTTCTGATAGGTCAGAAATACATGGCCTCATTTGATACTTTTCCACAAAACCAAAGCAATTTTACCAAAGCAAGTATCACATATCACTTTAGGTTGGTACACAGAACGGCAGGAAGATCCCGACTTACATGCCATAAAAGAGATTCACAACCTAAACCAATCCAAGTCCGTTTTTTCTCTCCCATAAATAAGCTATAAAGTACTGATAATTTAGTCACGAACTAAAAGAAGCAAAAAAAGTATGTTGGGATTAAGTTACCAAATGCTAAACATGAAGAGAACAGCGCATGAATCAAGGAAACAAAGAAAAAATACTAGGACAACTAGGAATTTGCCTGTGAAGAATAGCTAGCACTTCCATACCTATCTACAATCAAATTTCACAAGAAAAAAACTCCTAAAAAGTATCTTTTGTACAACAAATCCCAGCTTTCTTCACAAAAACTAAGAGTCCACTCTGAAAAATACCCACCAAACATGCCTATGGTTCCCAAAATTTTGATAGAGGTGTAAAGCTATAGCGCTTGATTATGAAAAATGATCAAATTGAGGGACACAAAATAGACATGGAGCAAAAACCTTAGACAAACCAAACAAGCAAAAACCAGAAAGAGTTTTTCGCCATTTACCTTGGGGAGATACGAGGTCAACCGCACAAAAACCTCAGACCCAGGTGCCAGAACAGAGTGAAGAAAGGAAGAGAGCACAGGCGCTTTAAGCTTGCGCCTCAATGCAATAGTGTGGCGAACAGCACGCAAAACTCTTCGAACCTCCTTTGTAAAAGCCCCAGTCTCAATTAGGGTGGCAATCTCCTTCAGATCTGGAAACCACATTTCATAAAATTATGTACAACTAAAATTGCAGATAGAGAAATTGCAGTAGTGAAAAGAAAAATATAGAGGAGAGAGAGTACAATGATAGACAGACAGAGAGGGAGAGACTGCAACGGTACAAATAGAGAGAGAGAGAGAGAAGGACAAGACTTTAGTGAGAGGAAGTCTAGAGAAAATGAACCCTAAAGAACCCTCAAGAGGGGTAGCATGATTACGCTGAAGAACAGGCGAAGCAGCAGAAGAAACGGAGTTGGAAGGGGCAGGGGGTTCCTTCATCTCCACATCTTGAGTCATTGTCCTCTCTCTGTAAAAGCTTGCGATAAAAGAAGATAGATTTTCTCCTGTTGCGTAGTAAGAATCACAGTAAGAGAGAGAAACCACAAGCAACAAGACATACCAGATAAAATGCTCATAAAACTAACCAAAATTTATATAGATTTCAAGGAAATTTCACAATGAAACCCATATTTCGTTTCAAACACCAAAAACCTAATTTTTCGGACAAAATTACACTGCTTTGTTAATTGGAATACGGGCTGAACTAAATTCGTCCAATGTAAATAAAATCAAACTCTCATCAAGATCAATGGATGTATCTTGCTCCAATTAAGAAAAAAAATCACAAAAAAAAAAAAAGGAGAGAGAAAGGGAGAGGTGGAAATCAAGTCACAGACCATATGGTGATTAACCATGAGCTTCCATTAAAGCATAAATTGAATAAAATACGATAAAAACAAATGAGAATGGAAATAAAACTTACAATACTAGTTCTTCCTCCTCGTACGAAAGCAGAAAGAGAAAGCGGTATGTGGAAGCCCAACTTATACGCTGATAATAAAGTGCACAACGATGGCTCGGTTGTTGAAAGTACCCCTGGTTGTGTTATCAATGACGAACGGATCCCTAGCTTCGATGGGAAATGTTTCCATGCTTCCCTACAGCATTCAAGATCCATGCTTCCCTTACCATCTGGCCGTCCAATTTTGATCAAGTCAGCCACTCACTATTCCATCCTAGATCATCTCAAAGTATTTTATTTTTAGTTATTTAAAGTATTTTATTTTTAATTATTTAAATATAAATTTTAGGAATGTGAAGCTTGGTACATGCCTTCTTCTCATTAGGCGGACCTTTAAAAATATTCAAAATAATTTTTCAATAAACTATAATGACTAAAATACCTTTGTATTTTAGTTATTTTATTTTATTGATAATATTTTTTATATTTTTTACAAGTGTGAGTTTAATAGAGGATTAGATGTTCAAAATTTGATGTGAAAATATTTTATATAAAAAATAAAAATAAAATATTGTAGAGACGTGACATTGTGATTGAGCCCTTCTTAACCCTCCAATCAAACTAGACGATTAGATAAAGAGAAGCATATAAGTTTTATGTTGTACAGAAAGCATAAAAAGCATGCCAAGCTTTGATAAGGGGGTTAAACAAGGGAAATTTACGTCCATGCCGTTATTTTTTACTGTTCTTACGGTCTGGTCCTAAAATATGCATTATTTATAGGGAGGTTCTAGCTCCCTTTTGTTTTCTTTCAACTTGCCCCCTAGTCTGAGGTTGAAACATTGGAGTGCGTATTAAATTTATTTTTTCCACTTGAACTAACTCACACCTCTTAACGAGTGTTGTATTTGGTGTGCTAGACATGACCAATCTACCTAAGTCTACTCTCTCACATCTTATCGCTTATTATTGCCATACCTAATTTCTCCCGAATCGATTCATTTCAAATTTTATTCCGTGTTGTCTTGCCGCTCATCTATCTCAAGATCATTATCTCAACTACATTCATTCTAGTGGTATATTGTTTTTTGTTCGCCAACATTCAACCCCCATGGAGCAAAGTTGGTCTCATATTTGTTTTATAGAATTTGCCCTTCAACTTTATTGGTATGTTGCACATCTCCACGTTGCCCACCTAGCTCTAATTATGTGTCCGACATCTTCTTCAATTTCTCCATTTTCCTAAATTATTGATCCAAGATATCAAAAGTGCGGTCGTACTTCATGGTCATCAATCTGAAGTACTTCCTCGTCTCTACATATTATTACTAAATTTGCATTCCATATACTTATGAGTCTTGCTAATTTTAATAACTTGGATTCTAGAGCATCCATCTAAAGTTCCAACTTTGTGTTAACGTCGTTTCAGGTCTCATCGATCAAAACTGTCATTCGCGAACAACATGCACCATGGTACCTCATCTTGTGGGTGCCTAGTTAAGTTTTCCATAACTAAGACAAAGAGGTACGGATTGTAAACATGTTGTCACTGAAAACTCACTTGTCTCTCCACTAATTGCTTGTACAAGTTAGCGCTCTATCGTACATATCTCGCATTAAGTCAATGTAGTGTCTGGAGACTCATTTCTTTTCAAACACCCATCATGTCAAATCTCGAAATACTCTATCATAAACTTTCTCTAGATCAATAAAGAACATGTGGAGCTTTTTCCCCTTCGCCCTAGACCTCTCAATTAGTAGCCTAAATTGGAAAATAGCCCCAGTTGTTGACCTTCTTGGTATAAAACCAAATTGGTTTTTAGATACACTTATTCATGCCTTAGTCGTTGCTCAACCACTTTCTCCAAAAACTTCGTCGTATGGCCATAAGCTTGATCTTATGACAGTTCGCATAATTTTGTATGTCTCTTTTGTTCTTGTAAACATGTATCACAATATTTTTCCTCCATTCGTCTGGTATTTTCTTTATTGTCAACACCTTGTAGAACAACCTCGCCAGTTAGTCAATGCCAATCTCCTTCATGCACTTCCAAATCTTATAGTATAAGTTATTTTTAAAGCTTGAAATCCTTTTTTTTTTTTCACAAGTATAATGTTCAAGTCGAGATGATCGATTTAAAGGTTTTTCAATACTTGAGTTACAATTTTCGACAAGTTATGAGGCAAAGATTTACTTATTTTGATGCGGCTATCAAACTATTTTTCCTTTTTTGTTATTTTTTTCAAGGGTATGTGTGTACGCGTGAACATCCGATGCTCTTTTCTAACAATGTCAAAATAAGAGCAGGTAAGCAGGCTTTCTTCTTGTCGAGCTCTATTATATTTCCAAGTCCAAGCTTCCTCCATTCGCTACCAATCTGTTGCCAGAACCATGAGTTTTACATGTTGCCTTATTTGCATGAATTATAGAGCTCTTTTTGCCCCATCTATTAATAATTTTGGTTTTAGCCTATGTTAGCCGGAAATTGAAAATGGGATTTTAAATGACATCAGGTGTTTGACAGTGATCTTTGTATTTTTTATTTTTAGGTTTGATATCTTCGTAGATCAAAAATTTCAAAACATATATTGAAGAATAAAAATTATATATTTTATATCTTTTAACTTTTAAATTAATTTTATCCACTTTAATCATATTTTTTAAAACAAACAACTTGTAGACATATAGTCTTTTTTTTTTTTCTCTTCACTTATGAATCCACAAACCCCCCTTTTTCTTTCTACTCTATCTCCTACCTAACTCTCCCAAAGCCCATTTTCTCTCTCTATCTCCCCTTTTCTCTCCCTATCTCTCTAACCGCCAACGAGATGGCGACCAACACTATGCAGATTATCGCCAACGATGTATCTTGGAAACCCCATCACCTGATAATCTTCTTTTCTTTTGTTTTTCTGATAATGGAGGAAACTTTAGGAAAAGTGTACCTGCTTCTTAGGCTTATTGTTTTATTTGAGTTGCAATGTTTTGCTCATCTATTAATATTGAGTTGTTTCTATCTTCTTGGGTATTTCCTGATACTAAGATTCATCACTATTTCAGACCCCGCATTTGCCCTTGGTTTATATTTGATTGTTTTTTTTTCCAATAGATTTTTCACCATGTGTTTATGACATATCCTATTATTTTTTGTTCTTATTTATCAGAGAAAAATCATTCATTTTCAGATAATTTATGGGTGTTTTGATGCTTTCTCTCTCAATATCCCATTCTGATCTCCTCTTTTCATCCTAAACCTTTTTTTTAGGATTTGGGCTTGGGTGAAGATGGTAGAGGCTAGATTTTCACAGCACAGCATATCTAATTCCATTCCATTCCAATGTAACCTTGTCAAAAAAAAAAAACGAACTTTTTTTTTTCTTGGTTTTGAATGGTTGGTTCATCACTTCATTTTATTTTAGCGAATACATGGCACAATCTGTGAGCCTTTACATGATTTCCCTCTTTAATTCCTACGGCTCAAATAGAGAGATTTCTCTCTCTAGGGAAAAGAGAGAGAAGCTTTTGGGATTCATAAGAGAAAAGTTAAAAATATATATATATATTATATTGCAATTTATTTTGGTTAAAAGGATAAGATAAAATCAATTTAAGAAGTTAAAAGATATAAAACCTGGAATTTTAAAGATATAACAACTGATAGAAGCTTAAAATCACAAGAAAAACTGCAAAAAGGCAAAGTGGTTATTGAATGTCTTTTTATGTATTTTATGTACACTTGGAGCATAAGTAGTGACTTTGTAAGTCTTTTATATATTTTTAATCCCCTCAAATCTTTTCCAATAAATAATAATGATTATAATAAATAGTCATGATTAAATTTGTTTGATGACCATAACTAAATCTTATTTAAGGTTTTCTCATATAAAAAATATACTCAAACATAAAGAAGGATCTTATTGTAAATTATATTTTATTTAAACCTTTGGAGGGTGAAATGCTTTTTTTATCTCTAAATTGAATCTTTCCCATCTTCGCTAAACCCTCGCTCAAAGGAGCCACGTTTTTCTTCAAAAACCACTACATTTAAAAAAAAAAACAAAAAAAAAAAAAAAAAAAAGAGAGAGAAAAATCACCTATATGACTCAAAAGGTGCAACACTCCTTAATATTTTTTTGAGTTCACATAGCATTTGTTATAAAATAAAATAAAAAAATAAATACATTGAGATCATTTACTTTTGATATAAAAAGTCACAATTATTAGATTTATCATTGAGAGATTCAAAATCTCAAAATCCAAAATAAATTTTTTTGAGAATATAATGTTATATTTTTATCAATTGGACTTCTTATCCAATGGTCAATAACTCAAATGGTCCAAAACTCAAATGTAATTGTGAACACCTTGTACAAAATATAAATAGTCTCACAGTATTCAACCATATTAAAAAGAACGCGGCCAACACGCTTATTGCAATTATCATTTCATAATAAACTCGCTACTTTGGCGAAATTTTAAATTTTTTCAATTTGCGGGCACTACAAACGTTTACAAAATTATTTTTTTAAAAAAATTTCGATTCCAAATTACAGCAAATAAAAAAACCGCATTCTAGATCGACTACTCTTAAATCCAACTTTTCCAAAATGCCCATGCTTTGTGAAAAGAAAAAAGACCAAAAAAAAAAAGAGAAGAAGATTAGGGTTTGAGTTTTAAATGAAAAGATAATTAGATATATTTTAAAAGCAAATACAAAAAAGAAAAATAAGGCAGAATGGAGATTGATCAGATAATTGTAGTCTGATATTGCAGTCAACACGTTTATTCAGATCACAAATATCATCACATCAATTCCATCTTAGATCACAAAAAAAAAAAAAATCTTAAGAAATTAAGGGAAATGAAAAGCAAAGCAATAAAAAAAAAGAAAGAAAGCTCAGTAGGATCCATTGGTGTTCTTTAATCATCGCCACCTCATAAAATAGGTAGTAAATACATCACAGCCTCCATTAAAGAGAAAGTTGCAAAAAGAAAAACAAAAAAAATAAGAAAAAGGAGATGGGAGCAAAATAATTTGTAAAAATAAAATATAATCAATCTAAAAAATATAAACAAAATATGGAAAAAGAAAACCAATCAAATTAACTTACAGAAGCCATTTCAATATAACTTGAAAGCTTCCATGAAACATATGCTCCTCTACACAGGCAAAACAGAGTGAAGAGGAGACGGGATATATATAGAGATAAAATTCCGGGTTTAGGGATAGGGTTTTGTGGAAGAGAAAATTACAATTTTACCCCTATAGAAACGTGAAATTAACTTGTATCCGTGTCCTCAACTTAAGACTCTACCCTTATGGAAATATGAAATTTCAGTTATATGCCCATTGTTAAAATGTAATAATGTAATTAGGGTTAAGTGCAGTTAATTCTCTTTTCTTTGTTGGTAATTGCTAAAGGGGCGTTCGATACTATGCCCATGCACCTGGAGTGCACATTACAAAAGCTATATAGGGTTGCAACCTTATACTGTATAAGTAAGGTCGTGCACCCCAGAATTTACGTCATGCACCCCAGAATTTACGTCATGCACCCCAGAATTTACGTCATGCACCCCAGAATTTAAGTACAAAAGAGTGTTTGGAAGTTGAAAAATCTTATAATTGACCATCTCAATCTCAAGATTCATAGATGTAAGTAAAAAATAACTTTAAACCCTAAAAAAATTGCAGAATTATCTAGACATTCTATTTTCATAATTTTCAAGTATTTATACATCTCTCAATCTCAAGATTCATGGATGTAAATAAAAAAAAATTTTAAACCCTAAAAAAATTGCATCGTTATCTAGACATTATATTTTCAAAATTTTCAAATATTTATACACTGATAGATCTATGCAGCTTTTGAAAATTTAAATTTTATAATTAGGATTAAACATAGATTTTCTTTATGACACAACATACTCTGATTAACTTTATTCATGATTTTCTCTTTTAGGAAATCAATTTTTCAGGTAAGTTTCTTCCTTCTTTTTTCAAAATGTATTCATAACTTTGTTTTTTCACAAAGAGTCCAAATCAGAAAATCAAAATTCAGATATTCAGAAAAGTCGAACCCATAGTTGAATTAAAATTTTCCTTTTTTACATAGAAGCTCAGATGATATAAGCGAATTTTAAGAAATGAGACTTCTCTCAAATATTAAAGAAATGAGATCAATATATTCACAAAAGCCTAAATCCCCACTCCCATAAACAACGCAAGTAGTTCCCCCACTAACCAAAATACCTTCCAACACCCACACCACAACTCGCATGGAATATGACCCACATTTTGCAGCAATATGGCCGGAAACCACGCGCCTAAAAACCCGTTGCTTAACCCTAAAATCGCCGATCCCGCCTCCTACTACCAGGTCTCTGTCGCCCACCTCTATGGTGCCATTGCCTATCTGGCCTCAAATTCCTTCCAAAATTGCCCCTAGCACGCTCTTGCCACTGGTGCTCCACGGTCCAAACTGGGTCCCTCTCAGGGCTCCACACCTCGAACTCTGGCCCACCTCGCTCCAGGGGTAAATTTGGAATACCAGAAACTGTTTTTGCTGGAAAGCCTGGGTTTCTAATTGGACTAAGGGCTCTACTTGCTGACCCAAAATCATCTGAAAAACCTAAGTGTCCCTCTTTTGCAGGAAAAACCTTTCCAGTTGCTGGCTGAGTTTTTCCAGCAGATGGAAGTGGAAGCAATGGCGCATTAGAGGTTGCCCGGGGCGGTGAATTTGCAGCAGGAAAATAGTTAGAATTCGTTGGAAAATGCCGGGGATTAGCCCGAAATGGCAAAACAGGAGAACTGGTAGCTGGAATATGGTTCAAAGTTGCCGAAATTTGATTTGAAAGTACCGTGTCTTGGTTTGGTTTCCCCGCAGTTGGAGTTAAGGTCCCTGGAATTTGACCCTGAGAAGACAAATTTTGGCTGGGAGTCGCCAGACTTTGATTTAGAGTCACCGGTATTCGGGTTTGAGTCGCTGGAATTTGGTTTGCCATTGGCAGGATTCGCTGTGGAGACACCGAAATTTGCTTCGAAATTGCAGGAATTTGGTTCAGGTGTGCCAAAATTTGATTGGGATTTGCGGGAATGGGTGTTAAGTGTTGAGATGGTGCACCAGGTGCTGGGTGACTACAAGGCAATAAGCCAGAGGGTGGCGTATGGTGAGATGGTGCTCCAAGGTTGCTAGGAGAGATTGATGGTGATGGTCTGATTTCTGGCAAGGCTACCTTTGCTGATGAAGAAGCCTGCAAAAAACCAACCGAGATTGTAAGAAACTAGGACTAACAGATTTAAGTCTCAGACAAACTTCAGCCATAAGATTGCAAAGATACAGGAGTTCGAATTTTGGTGATTCTTCTGAAACAAGACTTTGGAATCAGGATTCCATAACTAATTCTTCTGAAACAAGACTTTGGTCAAAATATGCCGCACAATGATTTCTCAGATGTAGACGCAAATGTTAAGGCAGAGTATAATACTCTGTAAATTTCGCCTCAAAAGGGGCCACAATTCGAGTATTATTTTTTCAAGTTCATATAAAAATACGATCCAAATCTGGGCAATTCTTACATATGTTGGCAAACCTAGAATCCGATGCACTATAGAAAACCATAGTGTCATGATGTAATGATAGTCAATGATGAAAATGAAGTTGGACACGCCTTTGGGCCTTAGTTATTGTTGTGGTCGTTAACTCTCTCTCTCTCTCTCTGAGATACAAGCTATGGTTTTCCATCGCCCAAGGAACTGTAGCATACTTTCCTTTCTCTAAATGCAAATTTATATGTACCTCTAATGGAATTAGATTAGGCACAAAACATAGATCTTATTCCAAAACTCTAATCCATAAACCCACAAAGAAGAAAGACAAACAAATGCAAAAGGAAAGAAATTCAACCCCCATTCCATGAAGCTAGAGAGAAGAATATCCAGAAAAAAAAAAGGGCAAAAGGAAAGAAACCCAAAAATAAGCTAAGTCTATCCTGAACCCACCGTTATAGCGCCTCCTGACTGAAGAGCTTGTCTTGGAATAGAAGGACCGCTTTCCTGCTTAGTTCCACCCATGCCCACATTACTGGCCTTGAGCATATCAAGAAGCACAACAGTATCCGAATTACTGATATTCTTCCCTTGACCAGAAGTTAATGCAAAAACCAGCTCAGGGTTCTTGAGAAGAACAGCCAACAATTCAAGATCAGGACCAGCAGTGCCATTAATAGAAGCTGCCTGAGAACCTGAACAAATGTTGGTTTCGGACCTTTGAGAGGAAGTATCTCCAGTTGGGTCATTTCCATCAGAGGGATTCTTATTAGAGCAAGCTGCAAGGCTCTGAGAGATTGTATCTTCTAAAGCATTTTGTGGATCTTCCTCCACTGCTTCCATTGAGTTTGCTTGCTCACTTGGGATTTCTAGAGTTAAACTATCATCATAGTCTAGCTCAACATCCCATGGCTCTTTGGGGTTTGGCGGAATCTCATAGGGAAATCGATAGATAGTTTCTCTCTCCCGTCGAATACGCTCGGTCTGGATTTCCATCTCCTTGCTCTTCTCTCCAGCCCCGACTCTCCATAGGCAATTGATCCTCATCTCTGTAAACAAATACAAACTTTGACATTTACAAGAATTTCCTTAATAGAATACCTGGATTAATTTGTGTACATGGCAAACTACCAAAGAAAGTGTTGGTGATTTCCCAAAAGGCACGATGCCATGACATGGACTAGTTAGGCATTTCAAAGTCGGGTTTAGTAAAAGAATTGCTAGAAGAATAACTCAGATTCTAACATCTGAATTTGATTTGACATACTTTGGTTACTTTTCAAATCACACGACTGGATTCACATACTTCTTTATACTAAGATGCGACCACAAACCTGATTCCACAGGAATGAAAGAGAACTACCTAATTTAAGTGATTAATTACCCTACAAAAGCATGGGCGTCCAACTGAAAACATTCATATACTGAACCATTTAAAAGAACATGCCCAAATTCAGCGATATAACATAACAAAATGGGTTAAATTGAGGATATCATGTCAATGCATTGATTTTATCCTTTTTTCCACTAAAAAGTGCCCAAAATATTGAAGTCTTCCATCAGGCCTTACTGATTTTGACTTCCACAGACCTAGACTCTCATGCAAATATAGAGAAGAAGTGAGAAGAAGTGAGAAAATTGATAAAGAAAGCTGTATTGATTTGTACCTGGGACATTAATAGAGCTTTCTAACTTTAAAGAACTCAAGAGAGACTTAAAATATCCACTTCTATGACACATGCATGTCACTCATTCCCAAATTAAAAATCCAAATGTCCCTTCAATACAAAATGCCAAGAAACCGCCAAATCCTAAGGGTGTATACATATAGGGCCAAGAACACACAGGGAAATTGCAGCAAAAACATATTTCACAAATGATATTACATCAGAAACGGGCAATTGTGTCTGGTCACAGAGATAACTATAAAATTGTGGGCACGATTAGGAAAAAGGAAAAAGCAACAAAGAGCATGAAGTAAGAATTAAAAGAAAGGAACGAATATTAAAACGAAGCTAGGGCGACGAGGAACCAAATTTGAAATTTTTTACCCGCGCTCAAAGACAACTTTGCACTACAAGTATTTTCAGATGTCCATGAATAAGGTTCCTTCTCAATTAATATAGTATTGCACGTTAATTGTGTTGCTTAATCAGAACTTGGACATCTGCTTCAGAACATCAAATGGCATGAAAGCTATCAAGAACAAAAAAAACAAGCAGAAGGCATTCTGTATATAATGCTCTAAGATGACAATCTATGATTGTGCAACATCATCTTTGTTTAGAACACCTTATGTTTACAATATATTGATTCCTTAAACTTGAATCCTGGCACGCGGGCGCATTTGCATTAGCAAGTGTGTGCACACATACGTATGCATGTATCAAACCGAGAAATCACAAGCACATAGGGGGTTTACGACAAGATAAACTACACCACCTTCGTTCAGGACATTTCTGTGCATGATATATGGGTCCTTTTAAACCTCTATTTCGTTGCAAGGCACGTGAAAATGAATATGTTTTGGTGTGTTTTTGTTGATTTTCATAAAGAGAGAGAGGGGGTGCGAGAGAGAGAGATAGAGAGAGAGAGAGAGAGAGAGATAGAGAGAGAGAGAGAGAGAGAGAGAGAGAGAGAGTAGTAGTAGTAAGTAGTAGTACGTACGTACGTACGTACGTACGTACGTTACGTTTACGTTACGTTTAGTTACGTTACGTTACGTTACGTACGTACGGTACG